TCTGTAGTCTTGAGGCAGGAAGAAAGAGAGAGAGAAAAGAAAACATAATAAAGAAAAAATAAAAATACAAGATGTTCAGAAGAACAAGACAACATAAAATCACAATATACAACCATACATGCGAAACACAGATACATGTCCAGACAAATTACATACAACAATAAATTTAAAATAATTCAGTGAGTGCATGACTGGGAACTTTTGAGAAACAGTTTGAGATGCTTTTTAAATGTACAATAACTGGGACATTCCCTTAAATTTGTTGGGAGACTGTTCCAAAAGTGACCTCCTTTGACTGACGGAACAGTTTGTCCAAAGGATGTTTCCTCTGAGGAATCTCGAGGTCTCCTCTGGAGGAGGCTCTGCTGCTAAAACCTCTGTCAGTCCTTCGTTTAATATAACTAGAGAGTGGAGGTGAAGTTAAGCCATGAAGAACTTTTTATATTAAACAACAATTTTTTAAATGAATAAAATGTTCAAAATTGAGCATATTATATTTTTCTAAAATATTACACTGATGGAATGACAGGAGCTTTTGATCAAAGATTTTTAAAGGTTTTTGAATAACATTTCTATTGGTTTTAAAGTTGTGTCTCCAGTGAGTGACCAGGTTGTAATGCTGTAGTCCATGTGTGAAAATATCATATTACCTATAAATGTAATTTAATTTATGGTTTGAATGCAGTCTGAGAAGCAGGTCTGAGCACTAATGATTTTACTTGCTTTGTTTGAGTGTGAACCTGATCTCCTCGGTCCTCCCAGACGGTCTTTGCATGAAGCCACAGACAGGAAGTCAAACATTTAATTATTTAAAAGAGGTATTTTTGTTATTTCTTTTGCATCATCTGGTTATTCTTTTTTTGCCATATGATGATAGTTTGCTTTTTTTTTAACTTGGTTTCTCTTCTGTCTTGCACATTTCCTCTTTTTCTCCTCTGTCTAATCTTTTTTCCACTCTTCTCAGCTGTTCTCATATTTCTATCCTCTCATTTCTCCTGCCTTTTCTTTTCCCACTTTTTCCTTCCTCCTCTCTTTCACATGACAGTCTCCTCTCTCCCACTGTATCAGGTAGCAGGTGTGATATTGTGGCTTTTGCCCGTCACACTCTCATATTCCCTAATGCAAACTGGGAATGGCAACCTGTCAATAAAATGCCGTTTTAAATCAGTTATTTTAACTGCAACACAGACAAACCTGAAAGAAACGATACCGTCTCACAGTCCCGCCACTCGTTTGTTCCCTTTCCTGTGCGCAGTCTCTCTCTCTCGGACACTTTGCTCATGTGTAAGAGCCACCGCTTTGCTCTGAGTTACTGGCAGAGATCCTCCACCTCTGTTTTTCTTTGTGTCTGACACGCTCACACACAGATCTCTTCTGTGTCCAGCTCTCACAGTGACAGCGACAGCCTCGTCTCCCTTCATGTCTGTGAGATGTTCACATCAAAAACTCCTTCCCCTCCATCTCTCACTTTTTTTGGTGATCGCTGTTAAATGACTGAAGCTCCTTCTGTCTTTCCTCAATCAAGCATCTAAACATGCAAGTGTATAAACTCGTACACCCAGATGCAGGTAGGCACACGCACACGCACACTTTGTCTTACTGTGTGCGTGTGCGCACACACACACGCCAAGGCATCCTGTCTCTAACAGAACAACACTGCCCTCTTCAGTCTGAGTTAAATAATTATAGAAAACCCAGAAAGAAACGAACGCTGTGTGTTTAAAACCATCTATTTGATCTTTTCAATTAAATGTATATTTTGTTATTTCAGATTAACAAGAGCAGCAGAAGGAATTATGTGATTTTAGTTTATTTGAAATCAGAGCAGAATTTATCAAACATCTTTTACTGTGTTCAGTCTGTCTACAACACTGTAACTGACTGGATTGACTCAGAACAACTTTGATTATTTTATTAATGTAGTAAAATCTCATTTACCTGTCTAAACTCAATTAGCTCTAAAGTTAATTTAGTTTAGACAGATATTAAAGTTTATTTTTTACGTTTTTATAAAAAGACTTTGACCTGATTCAAATGCATGTATGGACACTAAGTATTGAGTGCAAAAACATACAGTGAACGGGTCACTGCTTTATTCAGTTTTACAACAAAAGACATTACTTTGAGTGTAGATACATTTACTGCAGTAAAGTACACTCACACACTTATACACATGCTTAGTTTCACAGTTAAACAGTGTAACAGAGCTTTACGCCTCAGCCTCAGTACTTTTGTATGGCTGGCAGATTTCCTTTATTTAACCCAAACAGAAGGCAGCATCGTCAGAGCACACACACACACACACACACACACACACACACACACACACACACACACACACACACACACACACACACACACACACACACACTCAGAGACACATTGATCAGAGGTTGGGCTGAACATGGCAGGCTGTGAGGTATGTTAAGCGGGGTAAGCAGTAGAAAGAGAAACAAGAAAGGTGTAGTGAACCGTTCTGATGTGTGTGTGTGTGTGTGTGTGTGTGTGTGTGNAAAAAAACAACACCACTAACAAGTTCTAAGTCCCTCATCAAATATGAACGCTTAGTCAGGTTCTGCATCATGTATTGATGCGTCAGATTAGGTTTTAGGTCTTGGATTAATGTTTAATGAATTTAGGGATAAGAGTCGTGGTTACGGTCAGTTGTTGCACATTTTATATGTTTTTCAAAAACATGAGAAGGGGCTCTTCCTCCTCGTTCTCATGTCGTCAATAAATGACGAGAGGTTGGTTATTCTCGATGTATCTATAAGCTTTGCAGAGGGAGCCTGACAAACATCCATATTATGACGACTGCGGAGAGAGAATTCACTGGCACAACACAATCAACGCTGCAGAAAGTACTTTACAAAAGTGGAAAAAATGGCTACAAATGTTAACTGAAGCTCTGACCCAATTAATTGCCCTTTGACGACCAGCCGTTTTCAGTCATTGATGATACTGAGTTTCATCGTCTTCCTTATTAATCTGAGCCTCGATTTGACTTTCACCACCATAAAGGCATTACCAAACATGTACAGCTCTGAAAAAACACATTAAAAGCCTGTTACAGGATGCTTCTGCATTCAGCTCGATAACAAATTTGCTGAAGATTTTAATTCTCCAGAGAGTCTTGTTACAAGCGAAGCAACTTCAGGATTGAAGCAGTAGCATTCGTTTAGCAGATGCATCTGATGGTGCGCTACAGACGTGGAATATTCCTAAAACTTTAGTTCATGGTGTGCTCAGGGACCAGGCTGAAAACATGATCAAGGCTCTGAGTGATGCCGGCCTCTCTAGCCTACCGGGTGTCGCTCAAACCCTCCAGCTGGGCTGGTAATGAGGGTCTTTTGGATCAGATTAGAGTAGCTGAAGAAGACGGTGTTGGATGTAGAAGTGGCCTAGATAAATAGAAAGCCACCTTATTACCTTCTTCTAAATAAAGGAAATGTGTTTTTAAAGTCATTGTGTAATGTTTAAGCAACTCATTCACTCGGTATCAGTACCCAAACTAGTATTTAAATATACTTTATCTTGAATCTTTTAGGTAATCAGGTTGTTTAATAGAGTTTATCAACTGAGGTTTTTATGAATAATTTATCCTCCTACAACTTATGTGTGTGTGGATGGTTGTTATCTGTGTGTGTGAGGCTCTGCTTCTGCTCAGTCCTCCTCCTCGTGTGTGTGTGTGTGTGTGTGTGTGTGTGTGTGTGTGTGTGTGTGTGTGTGTGTGTGTGTGTGCCTGCGGGTAAAGCCAGCACAATGTTGCTCAAAAACTTGTCACAAATTAATTTTGTTCTTATGTACTACATTATTGAATTAAGGAAAAAGTTTTTAAAAAAGCATAAGAAATGTATATAATGTACATAATATTGTTTTTGCTTGTGTAACATAAAATAATCACTGTATTAAAGTGTTTTTGAGACAAAATGTATAAATTACCTAAATACTGATACTAAATACCATAAAGTGGTATGGTAAATATTTAATAACCAAATCTCCATATAGAAACATTTGCTAGAAATTAAGTTATTTTATTTCAAACATTTTACTGTCTGTTTTAAAATACTGCAAAAAAATCTAAATTAAATAATTTAACTCACTGTATTATGCAGACATCATTTTGAAATGTCAGTTAAGTTTTTTTTTCCACTTGAAATTTGATTTGGAAGCTGTTTTATGCTGACAGTTCAGTTAATGATCATAAAATACCCTTATGACAGCTTTAAGGATTCATGCTCACAGATTTACATCTGTAATCAGAGATGGTTTTTATCTTAAAGGAAGAAAAGTTTTTTTTCCTGACTCATTAGACAGGAAAAAAATGCTATTTGGGAGTATGTTAAATTTTTGGTAACTACTGGTGTTTAAATAATAAAAGCATATTTTTCTGTGGAGGCGCTTAGTTCAGTCACAGTGTGATTTTTTTATTTTTTTAGTCTGCATAGTGAGTTCCTCTAAATAAATCATGTCTGGACACTGTAGCCTAAACGCATACAGAGGTATCATAATTATCATAGATCAAAAGCTGATGACATTACAGCGTTTGGACCAGTCCTATCCCATGTCAGTTCCACGGCTGCCCATCTTTACGTTGTTTCATTATTGAGTTATGGCATGCATAATTTAACACCGACAGATATGGATCCATCCGTTGAGAGAGAGTGCGGAAGGAGCTGAGGGAAAGAGAAAGCCAGGACAAGCTTTTTCTTTTTCTTTTTTTTTTTTTTTTTCTCGTGGCTTTCACTTTTCTGCTTTTCTTCTCTTTTTAGTTTAGGGTTTCTCTTTCCATCCTTCGTCCTAGAGTGCTGTATACCCTGATGTTCAAGTCAGTTTTTAAACATTCCATGTCTGAAAATTTCAAAAATGTAGAACGGTGTATCAGAAATATTTGTAATGTATCGTGCATGCTCATTTAAATTTACCACGGATTTTTTTCAAACGATCTTTATTTTATTCAGCTCATATTTATACTTCCATTACATGTTTGTGTGCTACAGGTCTGTTGCCGTTCACAGACTACAGTTTTGTGCTGGTCGCCTGTACGACTGTTGGATGTGGAACCAGCAAACCTGCAACAGGACGCACCCTGCAAGCCTCACCTACTGGTACATGCACACACACACACACACACACACACACACACACACACACACACACACACACACGTAACACATATTTTTAGTTTTTAGATAAATATTTATAGATTATGGTGTGGTTGTACCAGTTGCAGCTTGTTTTTATGTATAAATGTCTTAACTAATTAAAAAATTTAAATACACACCAAAACTGTTTGTTTCTTTTTCATCATTATTATGAAAAATGTGTAGTATTTTTTTAAATGCCTGTTTTGTGACTATGATTGCTAAATTTGTAGATTCATTTAAAATATTGTAATCTCAAAAGTTCCTTTCTAGTGTTTTTGTACAATTTAACTTTTATATTTGCTGTTTTTTATTTGAAGTTCTTTCTTTGTCTTTTTATTTTACTTTTTTCTGGTTTCTGTTCATTTGTGGTCATTTTTCTCCCCTCATCTTCCTCTCTGTGTTCTACAGATGAGTTACACTAGACAAAAAGTATTTTTATTATATTTCTTTTTCATAATTTTTTCTGCTTTTAAAAGTCAGTTTGCTCATATCTCCTGATTGGTTTCTTATATTTCTGTTTAATATAATTTATTTTCCCTCTCCATCTTAAACCTTTATGTTAACCCCTTTCTGCTTTAGATTTTGCCTTTGTGCTCATTTGAATGTTTTCTATCTTTTTTTAATATATATTTTGCTTCTGCTCCCTCCCACCACTGTAGTTTTCCTTGTGTCTCAGTATCCACTACATCTTATGTTGGAAGTACAATATTATTTATAACTGGAATGAATTTTGAACTTATTTTTAGAGGGAAGGGGCTTAATTTTAAATAATTCTCTGGCAGAACTAGAAGCTCTTTGGGCATTTTTATTCCTTTTTCTTGAGATTTCAGTATTAAAACGTATTTCAGGTTTTGTGTTCATGTTCTTTTCACATTTTTTAATTCAACCAGGATATTTTGCTTTGTTTTTGAAAACAAACAGTCCTTTTAGATTTGTTGTCGACCACTTTTCTGGCAAGTCCACTGGTTTAAAACAGCAAAATCTTTTAAGGCACCACAATCAGCAGTTGGTTTAAATAAAAAGAGAGAAATTCTGATTGTAGAAATGCTCATTTTTTTTCTCTTCTTGCCTCCTGTTCTTCTCCAGGTGTGTGGTCGAGCCCGAGACACCTGATCATAAACACATCAGTGGTGGAGCTGTACTGGGATCAGCCATCTCAGCCTAATGGACTCATCTTGCAATACAGGCTTATTAGAAATGGTCTCACTGTTTTTACTGGAGACCATCAAGACCTGAATTTTACTGACACCAAACTCCTGCCAAAGCACAGGTTCAGACGTTGCTCTCACACACATTTACTCACGTGTGAAAATATGTGGAAAATATGTGTTTGTGCAAAAATAGAAGCAACACCACTTTTCCTGTGTTTCATTGCATAACTTTTAAAAGTCTGTTTTTCATCATTTCCATCCATGTTTATGTTGGGGTCACCCTGTTTTAAAAGCATTCCCATCACCCCATCCCTGGCTCTCTCGGGGCTGCACTCTGTTCTTGTCTGTTTGTGCCAATTAATGAGCAAATATTTGACATACTCACAATGACGGATGCAAACATTACCACGGTTGCAAATTAAAATCACGAATCAGATCTGGCTTTTGCTTGCAGTCAGCAGTGGAGCGTAGATTTTATTTATCTGTTTATTTTCATTTAACCTTTATTAATCCGTGTGGTTTTTTTATTTTTTTAATCTAGATTGGATTTTCTGCTTTAATTATGGAAGTGTAAAAGTGTACCATCTCTCCTCCTGCTTTTTCTGCTTCTCCTCATCCTCTCTCATGAGACAATTTCCCTCTACCCCAAATAGAATTCATCCCGCAGTTCTCCAATCTCCCCCATGTTTGACTGAAAGGGAAAGGAAGACGTGCAAGGAGATAGAGCTGAATGTGTGTGTGACGTTTAATTTTCCCTAATTCCAGATAGTCTGCCAGGAGGCATTCCTGCCCGGACACTTGGCTTCTCGTCGCTTGTCTTTCCTCCTGCTCCCTCCCTTCTCTGCAGCCACACCGCCCCCTCCACTCCACCTGAACACACACTCATTCTCTTCCTCCTTTCCCTTCTTTTCCCAATTTAGCCCCGTGCCCAGAATTACACAGGGAGCACCGGCCCCATTATCCAAGCAGACTTGTGTGCGCGCGTGCGAGCGTGCGCCCTGGCATTCCTTTGTATGTGCGCACGTGTTTGTGCGTGGCACTGCTCAAAGTGGCCATTGATTATTTATGACAATGTTGATTAGCTGTCACTTTGCTTCGGCAGCCCAGGAAGTGTCTAAGATGACGAGAGAATTAACCTATTCCCTCTGGCTGGCCCCGCAGGACGGACACACACACACACACACACACACACACACACACACACACACACACACACACACACACACACACACACACACACACACACCATATTGCCAGTCAAACAGATGCAAATGCCCCACTCACCGATTACCTAATGCACACACACAATTTTACTTTTGATATCCCAAGGCGGTGTTTACATTTAAGTAAATATCTTCCAGTGATGAAGTGGTGAACTTCATTCTCCCTCTGAAACCGTATGCCGTGATAAAACTCTTCCTCTCCATCACACTCAGTCTCTTCTTCACTCTTCTCTCTCTCTCTCTCTCTCTCTCTCTCTCTCTCTCTCTCTCTCTCTCTCTCTCT